ACTAAAAGTAAAATAATAGAACTGTTCTATTATTTTGCTATTATGTTACTATTATGTTACTTATATTAACAAACCTCTTGTTATTTTACTATTATTCTGCTGTTATGCTGCTATTATGCTGCCATTATTTGGTGAATATAGGGTAGAATAATAGCAGTTTTTTTTTCTGTTATTTACCTATTATTCACCCTTTATTCATTCATTCGATCTGTGCATCTTGCTCTGTTAATTTCTTGTCATCACTTAAAATAATATATTAAGATAGTTTGTAAAATAAATGAATACACATTATCTTTTATATAAAGCAAAGCTTCTTAAAATTGCAGGTAACTCAATCTTTTTTAATGCTTCTAACATATCATTTGTTACAAATATATTTGATAATTTCTCATTTCTTTTGACACAATTGTTAAATTGAATGATTTATTTGGTAATTTATTTATACGATTCCTTATATTTTTCATAAAGAATCATATATGCTTTTATAATTTCTTAATATTAAAGCATTGTTGTATAGAGAATTTTATTGCTAGTCTAATTGATAATGAAAAAATTTTGATTTATAGTTTGTGTGCTTGGAACCTTTTAGCATTTGAAGATTCATTAACATTAATGATTATATTAAAATTTCTTTGCTATTAAGTAATTCAAGATAATTATTTAAAAGTTTTTCAAAGAATTTTACTGCTAAGTGCAAGTCTGTGTGTTACATATAGTCTGTAGTTAGTAAATATTAATATAAAATTCTTTTTTGTCAAAATAAATAGTAATTCTGATTTTTTACCTTATAATTGATACTTTATAATTTGATTAGTTTGATGGTTTATTTTTTTTACATATGCTTAAATTATGTTTATACTCTCTACAAATGTGACATTTTCATTTTTTTTTTGAAACTTCAATAGATGATCTAATTTGTTTGGTATCTTTAGGTCATCTTTTTTTAGGTTTTCTTTGAGGATTTTGAAGATCAAATGGTACTTCATTGTCATCATCTTTATATTTTTCATTTTCCTCATCTTCCTTATCATTTTCATTCTTCTCATCAGTAGTAGCCAATTCTTTAAGAATATTTTGTAGTTTTTCTAATATAGTATGATCTTGTTTTTTTATAGCCTTTTGTGTAATATTATGTGCAATGCCCCAGAGTTCTCCATAAAATTGATGTTCATTAATAATTTTGTAATTGTGTTGACTATGATCAGATTCTGGAAAATACCAAACATTAGCTGCTTTTGTTAAAGGGTTTCTAAGTAATTGGCCTTTGTTAAATTTTTGCACAATATAATATGGTTGTTCATATAGATTAGGATGTTTATTGCAATACCATCTTGATGGAATAAATGAAATATGAAAACATGCCATATCACTGCATAGCATTATTTGAAAAAAGTGCCGACAAATTATTCCATAATTTACAAGCCCTAAGCATGTGCAAATATGTGTCATATTTGTTAAAAATAGAACAAAATGACAAATTTTTTGTGAAGTAACTATTCGAAGAGCCTATATTTCAAGAATATTTCTAATATTAATCTTGTTTACCAATGACTGAATAGAAATTTGAAGCATATCAGAATCCTTTTCAACAAAATCTAAATTTACTTCAGCCTAAAAAAATAATATATAGTATTTTAAATAAAAAGTAATAATGATATCATACAGTTTTGATCAACTGGGTTTAGTTCAAAATCGTAATAATAAGAATCTCAACAGAATCAAAATTCAAATTAGCCAAAGCTAGCTAATATCGATATTGATCAGTTTTTGATTCTGTTATTTTTATTGTTAAGATTTGATCTAAACTAATTATACAATTACTTTATATTTTTATTGATAATATATAGTTATTGAATGTGAAGCAGCCAATAACAAGAAATATTTGTAAAATAATTCATTATCTGGTTATGAACTTTAATATATTAGCTTCTAGGCCCGAAGGGGCTCCAAAAATAACACATTAAAATTTGTTGCCAAATAAACAAGTTATTGGCTTCGTATTATACAATAATGGTATTATTAAGTAGTTACAATGATTGTGCTTGCTAAATGACTCAAGTTTTTGCCAAATAACAAAATTATTTAACAAATAATGTAATCACTATCAAATATTTTGGCAAGCACTATCATAGTAAGCTGAATAAATTTCATGGTTTATTTTACAGATGTTTTTTTTTATAAGTGATTGTTGATGAATTAATCTAAACCAGAACATATGCATATAAAAAAATTTTTATACCTCATTTCACTGTAAAATTTCATTATTGTCAACTTTAGTAGCTTGATATATTAAAGCTTTTTTTATTTCATCTCGTTGAATTTTTAAAACAGTAGGTGACAGAAAGCGAGTAAGTAATTCATCTATATCAGGAAATAGTTCTTGTGATGCCTTAATTGCAAAGGTATTTGGAATATTTGTTTTCCAATAAAGATACTGTGTATTTTCATCTTCCTTATGAATTTGAGTTTCAAGTACTTCCGCAAGTCCTAAAAGATTAGTATTTGAATTAAAAATAGATTGTTTAATTGCAGAATTATAGCTTTCTACATGTGATGTTGATTGAATACCTGCTATAAAAATTTTGTTAGTATAGGCTTTCGCCTATGATGTTTTTGATGAATATAATATATTTTGAAGATAATTCTTAATATGATCATTATAACTATATTTTTCTAATAACCATTTCCAATATGCTTCAAATGCAGTTACTGTTAAACTATTTCATGCAACATAAAAATCTTTCATAAATTCAAAAAAATTTTCACGAAAACAGTTTTGAAGATTACGTAGAAGATTTTGGCTTATATAAAATATACAATGCATTGTATAAGTATTACTAAATTCTTGAGCAATAGCTGCATCTAAAGCAGGATCCGCATCTGTTATAATTACTTTTGGAATTGCATTATTTGTTGCTTTTTTAATTTGTTTAAGAATCCATTTGTGGGCTTTCACAGGTTCATCATCTGTAATAGCTTGTGCAACTAAATGAGATTTTATATGATTATCTACAACTAAAAATAATGATAAAGCCATTTTATACTGATTTGTTTGTGAAGTATTATCGTTAAGAACTACATCAAAATACTTTGACCAAAGAATAATTTGGCTCAGATCTATCCAAAAAAGTCTTTGCAACGATCATAATTGTTTATCTCATTCTATAGCAACATACCATTTCAGATATTGCTTTTTTTTTTTTATTAGCTCATTATATAATAAAAAAGCATCATTTGCAAGCTCTAATTTTTGAATAAGATGATATTGTTGAAGTATTGAATAAAGATCTTGAGCATAAATAAAATGATTTGGAAATTCTTTTTCTAATGCCTGTTTAATGCTATGAGGATTTAAACCTATATCTTTTGCATAAAATAAAACTCTCTTAACCATATCATCTGTAAATTTTTTAGCTTCAATAAACTCTAACCTTTTGGGTAACAATTCATGATTATGTTTATTAATAAAGATTGTAATATAAACAGAGTTAAGCAAATTATTTTTCATTGGTTGTGAAAGATTTAAATGCTATATGCATCTTATTCATTTGGACTTTGTTTCGTTTTTTATAGATTTTTGGTTATATTTTCCTGCATGCTCACAACTCAAGATTCTTTTTTTTACTGTGCCATCAGAACAATATTCTACACATTCTTTTTTAAATGCAAATCCATTTTGTTTAGCAAATGTACTAATAGTTTCTAATGCTATATCCCAATTGCTAAAACTCATTCCTTCATAAAGCATATTTGTTTTAAAATATATTAAAAGCAAACTATATATCTAAAAATACTAATAATAAAACTATAGATTAAATTACACCTTTGTATTACAATAATATATATCCAGCATGCAAGTAATACAAACTTCTAAAAAGAAATGGCCGATCAAAAAATACGAAAAAGCAAAAATACTTGAACTGTAAAACCATCAATCCTTACACAAATTAAAAATAACAAAAACAAAACTTTACATATAATAAGTACCAATATATCGCCATAGCTTCTAATACTAACATCCTATTACCATAAGAAAAATTGCTGATAATTTCTATTTAATTTACTTATCAAATTCCCAACAAATTTCTAACTAACCAAAAAATGAATATTTTATTTTAAAGTAACAAGCTTTAAAAACAAATCGGTACCTTAATACTAATGTAGTAAATACAACTCATTATAATGAATACTGAATTCCATTATTCGCTCATTCACAAAAAAAAAAAAAAAAAAGTTACTTCTAGTTAATGTAAAACAACTTTCACCTGTAAATTGATTCTATTGCTTTTTCAGTAAAAAAATTTAAATAGTAAAATCATTAAAAAGAGAAACTGACATAACCAAACTTGAAACTTTGGTAGTTGGTTGAATAGAATTCTTTTTATTTGATTTTTTTAGGTGTTTTAGGTGGCATAATGAAAATCATAAAAAAAAAAAAAAAAAAAAAACATCAATTATGATGCTTGAGCATCATCATGCATATTATTTAATCAATTGATTTAGGTGTTCTCAAGCATCTCAATTAATTGATTAGAAACAAATTTTTAGTTAATGCTTGAGCATCATCACAATCATCCTTTAATCAATTGATTGAGATGCTTGAGAACAACCATAGGGTGTTCTCAAGCACTTCAATCAATAGATCTGAGGCAAAATTTTAATTAGTTGAAAATTGATATTGAATAAACCAAACAAGTAAGTTATCATTTTGATGAATAAAACCTGAGGCATAGACCTTTTTTTTGTAGAGTTGCTCTGATTGGCTAAAATTTAGAATCCACAATTCGCACAATAAATTTTTAACAAGTTGTCCTTCAATTAACCACATTAACCACTCAATTAATCGTAATAATTTGAGCAATATCTCGATCGTTAGTTAATCACATTAAGGGAGCTGTTTAAGAACACCCTTAAACACACAATATCGATATTGGCTATTACATTAATATAACATCACAAATAATGATATATATATATCTAGTGTTGCTTCTTTTTCATACTCTAATTTCTAATTACTCACTCATTTTGGTAATTAAGGCCAGTTTAGCCCAAAGTTCTGTCTAATCTCGTGAATTTATGCTCTGGCAAAACTGAAACCTACAGAAAAGAGAAAAAAGTTGGTTCAAGCACAGAAAAAAAAAATTGACAAAAATAAAACTGGTACTTATCTTCAAGACTAAATGAGACCAAAACCCTGTCTAATCTTCATACCCGGCATTAATTCACATTCTAGCAAAACTGAAATCTACAGAAAAGAGAGAAAAGTTAGTTCAAATGCAGAAAAAAAAAAAGAAAATAACGAAATTAAAACTGGTACTTATCTTCAAGACCAGCTGAAACCAAAACCCTGTCTAATCTCCATACCTGGCATACAAAAAAGAGAGAAAAGTTAGTTTAAGCATGGAAAAAAAAAAGAAACGACAAAATTGGCTTATCTTCGAGGCCAGTTAAGACCAAAACCCTGTCTAATCTTTATCTCCATATCTGGTATTAATTCACATTCCAACGAAACTGAACCTACAAAAAAGGAAGAAAAGTTAGTTCAAGTGTGGGAAAAAAAAAAAAAAAAATGACAAAATTGAAACTGATACTTATCTTCAAAACCAGTTGAGACCAAAACCCTGTCTAATTTCCATACCTGATGTTAATTCACATTCTAACGAAACTGAACCTACAGAAAAGAGAGAAAAGTTAGTTCAAGCATGGAAAAAAAAAGGAATCGAAATTGAAACTGGTACTTATCTTCAAGACCAGTTGAGACCAAAACTCTGTCTAATTTTCATATCTAATGTTAATTCACATTCCAACAAAACTGAACCTACAGAAAAGAGAGAAAAGTTAGTTCAAGCATGAAAAAAAATAAGGAACCGAAATTGAAACTGGTACTTATCTTCAAGACCAGTTGAGACCAAAACCCTGTTTAATCTCTATACCTGGTGTTAATTTACATTCCAGAGAAACTGAAACCTACAGAAAAGAGAAAAGTTAGTTTAAGTATAAAAAAAAAAAAAAGAAATGACGAAGTTAAAACTGGTACTTATTTTCAAGACCAGTTGAGACCAAAACCCTGTTTAATCTCTATACCCAGCATTAATTCACATTCCAGTGAAACTAAAACCTACAGAAAAGAGAGAAAAGTTAGTTCAAGCATGGAAAAAAAAAGAAAATGACGAAGTTGAAACTGGTACTTATCTTCAAGATCACTTGAGACAAAAACCTTGTCTAATCTCCATACTCAGCATTAATTCACATTCTAACAAAACTGAACCTACAGAAAAAAGAAAAAAATTAGTTCAAGCATAGAAAAAAAAAAAGAAATGATAAAATTGAAACTGGTACTTATCTTTAAGACTAGTTGAGACCAAAACTCTGTCTAATTTCCATACCTGGCATACTAAAAAGGAAGAAAAGTTAGTTCAAGCACAGAAAAAAAAAAACTAACTGAGTACCTATTATTTAGAGATGGCAAATAATTTAAAACAGAATGTTTTAAATCAGTTTTATATTGCTTTAAAATGATTTTAGCTTCATCCATCAACACCATAATCAACAATGTTTTAAAACATTTTATTAAATCAAGTTAAAAATTATAAAAATCATTAAAAAGTGATTTTTTACTATTTCTACTATTATTTTTAAGACCAGTATTCAGTCCCACATCCTGTCTATTCTCCACACTATAGCACCACCTGGTATTAATTCGTGTTTTGGTAAAACTGAAACTTGAGAAAAGAGAAAAGTTATTTCAAGCACAGAAAAAATAAAAGAACTGACGAAATTGAAACTGGTACTTACTTTTAAAATCAGTATTCAGTCCCATCCTGTCTATTCTCTACACTACAGCACTACTTAGTTTTAATTCATGTTCTAGTGAAACTGAAACCTATAGAAAAAAGAGAATAGTTATTTCAAGCGTGAAAAAAAGAGATGATGAAATTAAAACTTATACTTATTTTTAAGACCAGCATTCAATCCTACACTCTGTCTAATCTTCACATTACAGTACTACCCAGTGTTAATTTATGTTCTGGCGAAACTGAAATCTAAGTAAAGAGAAAAGTTATTTCAAGCATAGAAGAAAAAAAGAACTGATGAAATTAAAACTGGTGCTTACTTTTAAGACCAGTATTCAGTCCTATCCAGTCTATTCTCCACACTACAGTACCACCTGGTTTTAATTCGTGTTCCAAACTGAAGCCTATAGAAAAGAGAGAATAGTTACTTCAAACACAAAAAAAAAATGAAATGACAAAATTAAAACTTATACTTAGTTTTAAGACCAGCATTCAATCCTATGTCCTGTTTATTTCCACATTACAGTACTACCCAGTGTTAATTCATGTTCTGGCAAAACTTAAACCTATGAAAAAAAAAAAGTTAGTTGAATTATAAAAAAAAAAATTAATAGAATAGAACTGGTATTTTCTATATGATCTTCATACTCAGAGTAATTTATGTTTTGGCAAAGCTCTATCTACAAAAGAACGAAGAGTTAGTTCAAAACAAAAAACAAAAAAAAAAATCAATAAAACAATAGTAAAATTGATGTCTATTCTAGATTGGCCAATCACCGCTGATGACAAACATTTATTACTATAAAATTTAACCAATCAAAAAAGGGATGCGACATGTTGTGAGTGCAACAAATTTATATTCTCTTAAAAAAATATTTAATTATATAAGTTTTGTTTCTTTAAGCAATTATAACAGATTTATTAAACTATTTGTAATTATATATACAATTACAAAATATTATTTAATATATAAGTTTGCTATTATTTGATTATCCTAATAGTATCTAAATATAACTTGCTATATTAATTCAAATATAACTAAAATTATAACTTATCTAATTCTTATTTTACAATAAAACATAACTAATTTAAAGACATTTTCTTGTAAAAAAAAAAAACAAAAAAAATTAAAATTAGATATAAAAAGAATAAAAATAGAAATAAAATAAAACTAACAAAAAAAAATAAAACTAATTTATAAAAAAAGCAAAAGAAAAAATTTGCTAATAAGATAAAATTCTGTTTTATAATTATTTGTTTACTAAAATATTATATCTATTTTAAACTGTAATTATGTTTTAAAAACAAAGTACTCTTAATTAAAATAAAAATAATATTCATTTATAAAACAAAATTTAAGCTAAACATTTTTATATAAAAGAACTTTCAAGTAATTGAAATATTATACTAAGACTTAAATCTTATATTTAAAACAATTTAATTTTTTAAAAGATTTTTACTATTTTGCACATATGCATTGTAATGTACCTATAAAAACATGAAATCAAAACAAACCAAATTAGTGCATTAATTTAGGATAAGGGCCAGTGTTAAAATAGATCAGGATTAACTAATAATAAAACCAATTTTAATATCAAAATTTTGCAAGAGATTTTTTTTATTAGAACATGAAAAGTGATTTCATAAGCAAAATTTTGAACTACAAGCAATTTTTAAAAAAATCAGTATTTTCTTTCGATTTCACATTACACCTGATCTTATGATCTAATTGGTTGATCAGGTAGGTGCGTTACAATACACATGCACTAAATTACATAAACCTTTTTAAAAAATATTATATATAGTTTTAAAATATATATTGTATATAGGGTCTTTGCCTTAAAAATCAAGTTTGGATTATATAATTTACTATGTTTTATAAGGTTATTTTCAAGGCAAAGACCTTATATATCTTAATAAATTTTTAATTTTTTTAGTTTAAATCTTTTTCTAA